TTCCCTCTGCAAGAGGGGTGGCATATTCCACAGGAGAAAGGCTCTCCAGGAGCACAGCACTGGCTAAGTCAGCCAGTCAACTGAAGAGGCAATCTCTGCCGTGTTTAGCTGGTTAGAGGCCAAGCAGAGCCACCTGTGGGAACACAGCTACAAGGCAGAGTGAGCAACTCACAGCACCTGCTCCATTTGTACTTGCGCCATTGTCAGATGTGAGGTGATAAGCTTTTCATGCTTATACTGGTATATCATCCTACTTTTTAAATGTTTCTTGCTGTTTTGTCTGATCTTTTATTTAAGTGCATGGGAACCATTTCTGTGTGTGTGCACAGCCACTCACGTGCACTTTGGACTGGGGTATATGTATGAATGTCTCATTTACTAGCCCTCTTAGTGCTGCCTCTCATAAACCCCCCTGGGATATTTTACTTTACTTTCTATACCAACCAAAAGTGGATTCCTAGGTAGTTCACAATTCATGTTGCAATCCCCATTGTCACCAATTCATCTGTACTGTGTTTAGTGCATTCTGACCTAAGAAAAATTCAGTTTGTGATTTTGGTTTTAACGGCAATGTGAAAGCTAGGACTTACACAGTTATTTCTTAAAGGATGATGATATTGGGCAAATAGTATGTACCATAAGGCACAATATTAAGGCAGATTATTTTATTTATTTTATATGACTATAAAATGTCATATGATACTGCTCAGCACACTATCATTTCTATCCCACTATCTGTAGGCTTTGTAGACAGCAGGCTTTGCAGAGTGACATTCTTTGTTTTGAGTTGTACTAATTCTTACAGAAAGATTTGGTATTCTGCAGGTGGTGAATTTGGAGACACAGTTGGGTTAGTTTCCTTGAGTGGTGATGTGAGCCAGCAACAGAGTCAAGAATGTAATTTGTGTTTCCTATCTGTAGGCTCTGATCAAAACATCTTGATTCATAGTGCTATAAATTTCAACATGACAGGAGTTGGCATTACTTTGAAGTCTTTTGTTAGGTTTCTAGATCAACTTACTTGAAAGTAACTGTTTTCAATGAAACTTGCTTCCATTAAAGTATACTTAAAAGCTATTTGGAAGAATCCATACACTATGACACTTAAGCTCATAGTTTAACTCTGCTGTGCTCTGTGGTACACCAGAGTATTTGCTTAAATAAGGTAGGGTGAAGGTTACATGTATAGCTATATACTAGCATGATATGTTTAACATATATTGGACTTAGAGTTAGGGTTGCCAGCAGTCAGATGTTTCTGGTGCCTATTTGGTATCCTTGTCTTGGTTTCAATATTCAGTATTTGGAATTAGGAAATTCAAAGTGTTTCCTATCACTGCCATAACCTTACTTGTGAGGCGCCATCTTATTCCCACCTCTGTTGGGCTAAATATTATCAGGCTGCACCTCCTCACCCACCCCAGGGTGAGGATCTGCCCAGTGACCAAACACTTCTAAAATTGCAGTCGTGACTTTTGGAGAGCAGGTTGGTTCACATGACAGCCCACCAGTGCTTATTTCAGACATAGTGGGCTGTGGAGCATTCTGGCTGCCATTCTGAATATTCAGTGTCCAGCTGCTGCTTATCTTGCTATGTGAACCTAGGTATCAGGTATCTTTGATTATATGAGGGTTAAAGAACCCTTGTGTATCACAATAACAGACCATGTTGCTTAATACGCTGCAGTAGGGTCTTAGGTTGTCTAAACCAAGTCAGTAGATGAGCTTACACAATACAACAACCAATACTTGGAGGGGTGTATGGTTTGACATTCAACTACAGGTTGTTGCTGAACTATGAGTTAATTGTATCATGTGAACCCATCCACGCTAACCATGTTTTTTTTTTTAACAACAAACAACCCACAGTTCACAACCCAACAATAAACCATGCATACGCTTCTTTGGTTATACGTGGTGAACAAGCTATTGTTTGTTAGCATGATTGCACATAAGCAGCCCACACTTGACCTTGAGTATGCTTGTTGTTGTGTTGTAGGAACCAAGTCAGTGTGGTCTGGGGTTAGACTGCTGGACAAATACTGATGTTCAAATCCCCACTCAGCCATGACAGCTCATCTGAGTGACCTTAGGTGGTCACTGGGTGTGTTTGGCTACAGTGGTGACAAATCAGAGGTTAATCTGCTGCAGTACATGCTGATGCCATTTTGATTATGCAGTCTCTCATCCAACTAATCATTGGTTAATACAATTGGGTTGTTTAATCCAAAATTAACCCATAGTATCCAGGTTTGGATGTCACAGAACAGCCTCTGATTATGCTGACTGGAGGCTGCATAGAATATAGGTATAAAGATATAAAGAAGTCAGTATCACTTGCCTTCCATCTGTCCAGGTAATTTCATGCACAGGATAATTGGCCTGGGATAAGGCACTGAGGCCAGTTCATTCCTCACCTCCATCTTTAAGCTCTAACAAAATACTTCCCTATAAAGGCACAACCTGGTTTCCCGTGGTACAATGAGACTGAGCTCTTCTTCCATTCTTGCTCTGCTGTGCAGTGCCTTTTTTAATTCTAAATGGGGGAGGATAGTGGGTAAAGACTAAAGACAGTGGCACATGCCTGACAAATGCTATAACAGAACTTTATCACTATATCTCAGCCTAATATAACTCACAGGTTTATTCTAAGAATAAATGGGGGGGATGTGCTCTTGGAGGAAAGACTACAAATATAATAATAAACACCATTTAGAGAGGAGAGGGTAACCAGAAATAAATCCAGTCCAGAAATAATCTGAAGTAAACAAACTTGCTTCCTTCATGTCCATAGTGAAGTGAATTTTTTACTGGGGGTGGAGAGCAACAACAGCCTGAATCTAGACATTGCTATCACAAGAATTGGTAGTTGAATAAGCTGTTCATATCTTGTATGAACAAATAATGCCTGCTCTCCTGCCCAGTTCCAATTCCAGATGTGATCTCCGAAAAACACTGTAAGTAGAGAGGCATGAGGATTATACTGCTTCCATTTATTTTAAAAATGCTTATAATCTTATATCCCCACTAGGATACACAGTCTACCTGTAATCACTGCCTCTGGATTAGAACCTGCTACCATTAAAAAGGGAATATGGTTGTATTCCCTGAATGTGTACTACATACTGCTTGCAGTGACTAACTCAGCCTTCCCCAGAGCTGGTGCCTCCCAGAGTGAAGCTAGGTGAGTTGGACTGGGGGATGCCAGAGATTGTCATCCAACACATCAGGGCGGCACCAACTTGGAAAAGGATGGCTAACCCATGAAAGCTTACAAAGGCTAGCACTGAAGATAATTGTTTGTTATCATATCAACGTGGGCTAAAAGACTGGGCTTCAGAATGGTATGATAAATTAATGCATACTTTCACTAGTTAATAGTATGTGCCCCTAGCTAAAAAGTGGGAGTCTTCAGAAAGATGATGGCAGAAACTGGCACTAAGTAGATGTACAAAAAGGGGAGAAAGACAAAGCTGATAAAGAGGTAATAACATCTTTGTCAATGTAAGAATTCAGCTTTTTCTCTGAACATCTCAGAGTAGAAACAGTTCTCTAAAAACATGTGATTAGTTGTGGGCAAGAACAATAAAAAGTTCACTTTGTGTGTTTATCACAGTGGCAGAAAACACAGTAGTACTCTTCTATGTTGGTACCATTTTTGTCACACAGCTGCTCACAAACTGCTAGTAAGATGCATTTTAGAAGGCTTTCATCAGTGTTTGAATTGACCATAGATTTCTCATTCATTGCAACAAAGTTGATTTTCTGCTCTTTTTCCTTCCATATGCTTTCCTTTCACAGTGCTTTCAGCTTCCTGTTCAATATGGCATAAGAGTTCATTTTACAGCCAGCATAATCCTATTTTCTTCTTATTTAGCTGAATTATCAGAGTGCCAGTGGCATTCACAGCATTTTTCATTTCCTGCTTTAAAATTTCCTCCATTACCAGCTGCAGCCACAAATTGTGTCATCCTATACTGGTAAAAAGAAATTTTCAATATCCTCCCAAAATACTTGATTGTGTAGTAGGTAAAAAGAAGTCAATTTATTTAGGATTGTGAAGGAAAGGGCTTTTTAAAGAGGAGAGATCCTAGGACATAACACTTACAGGTTGTTTCATGTAAAAATGGTAGGGAAATGAGTAACCAGTAAGAACATGCCATCAGATATCATCTGATAACATGGAGAGGAAAACCTTGGAAGTTGCTTTGGGTTCCCTGTAAAGGAAGAAAGCTAGGATATATATTTAATGTAGCAATTAAAAATTACAGCAATCTTCTACCAAGCTGCACTGGTCGCCAGTACATTTCTGGAACCAATTCAAAGTGATGGTTGTTACCGTTAAAGCCTTGAATAGTTTGGGATGCGGTTATTTGAACTGCCTAAACCCATATGAAGCTGCCTTTCTTTTAAGATAAATTTTGGATGCATTGCTTCTTGGTTTGCCAGCACACATGTGCAGGGGAAAACTTTATCTTTACCTAAAAGCCGATACAGATGGAAAACCATATTTCTCCTGGAAGTCTACCTGGTAGGCCCTGATTTAGGGCCTGATAAAGCTTTCTGATCTTGTTGGTACCTATTTATCTACTTGTATTTGCATGCTTTCAAACTGCTAGTTTGGCAGAAGCTGGGGCAACTAATGGGTGCTTGATCCATTATGCAGCACAAGGGATTCGAACTGCTGACCTTCTGGTCAACAAGCTCAGCGTCTCACCTGCTGAGCCACCAAGCCCCTTATATTGGCTTTTAAGAGGGTTTTAAAAACTCATCTGTTCCCCCTGGTTTTAAAGTGTAATGTTATTTGTTGCAGATATTATTTTAAAATTGTACCTCATTGGAATATAAGTTATAATGACTTATTTTTAATGTTGCTTAATTTTAAGTACATTTTGTTTCTACTCTGCAAGATATATTGGAAAGACTATGATCTTGAAAGGTAGCTAATAAATAAGCAAATAAATAATAGTTTTTAATTCATCTTTTCATATCCTCCACAGGCAAGTATGTTTATCAGCCTATGACTCCAGTAGAACAGCTTCCAAGCACTGAAATACCTGTTCGGCCTCGGGGAACTACAAACACCATTCAGATCTCTGTCTCACTCATGGAACACTTTTTGAAGTTTGCACCTGTCTTCCAGCCACCATTACCCCCCGACTCCCCACGATTCTGCACAATCTCGGACCTCTTTATTGACAATTACCGTGTGAAATGCATCAATGGAAAGATGTGTTATGTGCAGAGGCAACCTCCTGCACTCGCCCACAAAGTGAAGCCTCAGGAGGTCCCCACACGCAATGCCTTAATTTTAAGAGAGAATAATACACCAAAAATAGATCATTGCTCTTCCCCTTCCAGCTCTGAGGACTCTGGGATCAATGCTGTTGGGGCTCACTATATGGAGTCATGTGATGAGGACACAGAGGAAGGGGCAGAGCTAAGTTCAGAAGAAGATTATAGTCCAGACAGTAGCTGGGAACCAGATGAGTGCCCCCTCTTATCACCCTCACAATGTGAACTAGAAGTGATTGAGACGATAGAAACCACAGTGTGAAATGCTGAGCTGGGAGCAAGCTAGGCATACTTAAAACAATACTGGTTTTCTAGCATTTATACTGGCTTTTTCTTAAGGGTCCTCCCCACACCCCAGTGCACTTGATATTCCACAAGGAACGCAGTTGACAGTATTTAGCCATCTGTGAATTAGTTGCTTGATACTGATTGCACCCATGCATTTCTGAGTGCAGTGCTTAGTTTGAAAGGTATCTCTGATTTACATCTTTAGTTACAGACTATGTTCCTGATCTTACTAAGTGACAGATAATTTGCAAAGATCAGGTTAACTTGGAACCTCCTCTTACTAAATCCAAAGAAAAGGTGGTTTCAAATTACTCCTTCGACAGAAGGATTAAGCCTTTCACTCTTGGAGAACACCAATAGCAGGTTAGCTATTGGTGTTTTGCAAGATGAGAGCTGAATTCTTGAACAGGACTTTTTAATTTATTTTTATTGTTTCATCTGGGAGATCAGATGCCACTTCTCTCATCAGAAATTGCTGTCAGTGTACCCCTTTTCAAATAACTAGCAGACATCAACCATTTTTGTCTGCTGCAGAGTAACTCAGGGGGTTCCCAGAATAAGCACAATACACCTTTGATAATTGGGACCCTGTTTCCAGAACAACTCCTGATTTGATAGCAAGAGTTGTTACACTGCCAGCTGACCAAGCTGCATCAGTCTTCAGTCTGATCCATACTGTTTTAATTGTTTCATGTGTTCAGACTGAAGGCAAACTGGATTTAGCTGTAAAGGCATGGAATATACAAAATAACTGCTAACCTGAAATTAATCCATAATGATTGTCACATTCCTTCCATAGGCACACAAATTCTGGTTTATTTTTCAACCAGTCAGATGTTTTTGCATGGTAGGGGTTGAATATACCCAGGTTTAAGCAAACTAAGCTCATACCTTCTCTTCAGAGCCAACGGCTGCCACAAACCTGTGATGTGCCATTTAGCAAAGTCACCACAGCCAATTGGTAGTTTGCTAAGACCTTCTGTGGCAAACAAATTCACACGACCCTTTCTGCTGTGGATCTGTTCAGTCCAGGCACACCAGAACTGACAAATATGTCAACTGGTGATGCATGATTTGACCATAAAATGACTGAACATTAGGAACCAGTTCAGTACTAAAACAAGGCAACTGAGTGCCATAGCTGTGTTCTAGTCATTGCTCCAAGAATTTCTGATTATTCTCATTTGGTGATAGTTCAAGATTTAAGTTTAGCATTGTGTTCAAATTAATATCTATTTAAGTGGACCATACCCATGCCCACAAAGTCTAAATGCAGCTAGCTAAAATGTAAGCCACTGTCATTCTAACAGCTTGAGCATTTGGATTTACTTTAAAGGCCACATGAAAAAGCAGTACCTAATTGATCTAACTCTTTCCTTATTTGGCTATATCCTTGCAATCCTCCTTAATAACGGTAGCTCATTAACAGATACAGAACAAGCATGGTGGTCCTTTGAGCTCTAAGACTAGTAGTGGTGGGGTGTTGGGGGCATTTTAGTCAGAAAATTTTAAGACACTTCAGCAGTTATGTGCTAGTGGATATGAGGAGACCTTCCCAAACCACATGCTGTGACCACAAGTATTTGTTGTTGGTGTGTGGGGTTTTTTTGAGCTCTTTCTTTCAACTCCATATGATGCACCTTTTTAACTAAACGATTCTCCTAGTAATAGGGCTCCTTAGTAATAAATTCAGTCCTATTTTATAATACTTTGGTTAATTCACTTTCTGTAAGTCTTAGTAAGAATGAGAACATATAAATATGTACAGTTGTAGCTCTCAGTACTAGATTATCTTATGCCGTGTTGTTGAATACTGCTCTTTAAAGCCTATCCTGACACATTACTAATTTTTATACCTACACTTTGACATAGGCAACTTTTAAAAGTATTTTAAAAGATACTTTTAGAAAGTATTCTAAAAGATTACAATGTGTGTTATGAATTACTATATAAACTAATACTGTACTTTAACTATAAAATAATACCCTGAGACAACAAATGAAATATTTATTCTGATGACTTATATTAAAATGTATTTCTTAGCCAAAAGCAAAGGAACTAAGTTCTGAGCATCACAACCAGTAAATCCTTTCTTAGCATTTCCAGAGAATTAGAATATTTTGCTAATCTTTAAGCAGAAACACTAATTCATTATATAATTTGTTATTTTGGGATTATTAAAGGTTTTTTTTCCTCCTAAGGTGCTGTACTGTTAAGCATTGTTATAGCTTTTATAGTGGGAAGACAATGTATAAAATAAGATTCGATTACCCTTAACTATTTTAAACTGCCGGGGGGGGGGGGGCTGTTAACAGATACCCTGTTTTGCTATATTAGTATGCAGTTGGCTCTCTTCTGGTGAAAAGAAGCTAAGTTTTCTGGCTCTGGCAATTGCAGAGGGAACCACATTAAATACTACAAATTACATTTGGGCTACAGTCTAACCAGGTCTCAGATTAGACAAATATATTCTGAACTGAGGAATGAGCTAGGAATAATTCAGAACAGACTTACATGGAATACACTTTATCAAACTATTAATTAGCAATAGTTGCATCTAATGTTAATCTCTTTAAACTTGTTCTGTTGGAAAGTCGTAAGCACAATGAGCAAAGTCCTCTAATGCCTGACTTACCAGGAGATTGCCTGGGTGTAGGCCATGGCAGGATCTGGTTATATGATTTAGCACATAATGCTGTGTTTCAGAGTACTCTCAAGAGTACCCAATTGTTTCATGTAAACTTCTCACAAAATAATAAATGTGAAGACTGATTTTGCACTAATGCAGACTAAGATTTCTTTTCCACACTCTCACTCCACTAAAGAATGTTGCATTCTGGCTGGGGAACAATATGATTTGATGTTCTGTTTCAGATGTAAAGATGCTTTAATATGCCTGTTGAAAGTGCAGTTGAATGGGACATGGTAAGTATCACCTGAAAAACAAAAATCACACAACAAGCAGGGATGCAGAGCCTCTTTCAGCTTGAGCACCAAATTCCATTTTAAAGATGCTCCCAGTGCTAGGTGGGACCAAGGGCAATTGTGGTGGGACCAACATTTCAGCATGTTTTAGCTTAAAATGACTATTACCAATACTTAAGGAGAGGCATTTCAGCCCTTTAGAATGGGGATAAACCAGCACAAAAACTGGGGAACCATCAATTAGTTTAGAGGTTGGTGAAATCTCAGAAGGCTGGACTGGGACCCCAGATTTAGTCCCCAGGCCTAAGGTTCTGCAGCTCTGGACAACAGACTCTGTTCCCTCCTCGGTCCACTAAAACCCCATTCATAGTTCAAATGGTTATTTTGCTAGCTAAGTTTGTTATTTGTCATAAAAAGAGTACATATAAATGCTTATTTAAAATTACTTAAAAGAAGTAGAAACTTCTCAATAGCAAGCAATTGCAATTCTTCACAAAACTTCCCAGGTGGAAATACAGAATTTCCATTTTCTTCTTGAATTAGCTATATTTTCTGTTTTCAGACTAGTTCAGAAAACTTCCACTTGAATATGCTACCCTTTTCTACATACTGCTGTTGCTTCTGCAAGTCTAGAGTTTAAAAAGCATTCAAAATAACCCCTTTCCACAGAGCATCCCAAGAAAGAAAACCATGTCTGAGCAACCACAACTAAGAAAATGGGAAAAGCCAGAAAGAAGATGGAAGCAGCACCTTTACGTACATTTACCTGGAAGCACGTCCCACTGAACTTAAGTGGACTTCTGAATAGGCATGTATAGATTCATAATATAAAATGGACAAAAAGATAAGGGGAAATGGTCCAAAGAAAGGAACCATTACCTACCTTTTAGATCTAGAAGAATCCTGGTGGACTGACTGACTCTTTCTCTCACACGTGCACCACTTGACTTTTTCTTCTACTTTAAATACACAAACTCGTTAGTTGCGAAGTCACATCCGACCCATCGCAACCCCATGGACAACATTCCTCCAGGCTTTCCTGTCCTCCACCATAAACTCCTTACTCCCTTTTGCCTATTTGGTACCCAAGTCAAAATAATAAAAGGAACCAGCTGTACTCTCATGTACTCCTTCCTCCCCCCAAGAGGAAAAAAACCCAAACCAATGTTCGTCATTATTTAAGTAGACAGAGCTTCTGCTCTTTGCCTCCTCACACTCTGGCTGCCCTGTGCAACTAATGTGGTTCATTGCAGGAACAGTTGTCTGCCCAGGGTGTGCCTCTCCCTGTCAGTTGGGGTTGCCTCTGCCTTGCCTCTAAATTCCCCAGAAAGCACCAATATGGTCCTGTGTGTGGGACTGTTACCCAGGGTGCCCTTCCACCCTGAGATTTTCTCCCCTGTGATGCACTTGTGCTAGGGAAACTACGAGTGGATGAAACCAGGTGCATGCTCAGTATTAGCCTGGAAGCCACAGAGCTTTCAGGGCAGCAAGACAAGGCAGGCAAATGAAGCAGTTAAAGTGGGCTCACGGCACTTCCTGATGGATAAGTTGGTGAATGCTATTGGATGACTGAGTGATGAAGAGAGAAAGGAAGGATTGGGACCCCCCTGCACCCTGTGTTAGAAGCCAACTAGAAGAAGGGAAGAAGTCTGGAGCAAGAGCCTTTGGAAAGACTGAGCTATAGGAATAAATTACACAAGTAGTATCTGCCAGCAACTTCTTCAGTAGCCTAGTAGATTTCTGGCTTTATTGACTGAAGTTGGTTAACTGACCCTTCTCATTAGAAATAATTGTTTTGTGTACACTAACAAATATTTGAATAACAACAGAAGTGAATAATGTAGGCATAAACATTAAGCACTGTACTATGGAATGAGTTTTTATTTCTGTTTAAGGCTGCACCTTCCCCTGTACTATTTGGTCCACCTTCAGGTTCAGTAGCTGAAGAGCCACCTATCTTGAGTCTGAATGTAGTTGGCAGTAGTTATCTTTAAATGTCTAAAATAGGTAAAAGTTTGAGCTTTGCTTAGATGAATATTTTTAAATATTAACATCACCTAGCACCTAATGGCCTAGTATTATTTAACAGCAGCGTCTTTTTTTAGCATGCTCCTCCAAATCCTTTTAATTGGCTGGGAGCTTCTACCTGCAAAAAGCATATGCTGCACCACAGGGTTGTGGCTCCTCTCTGCAGGTACAAGTGCATACAGTCAATTCATTTGGTTTGCCTCTGACTGTATCGTGCTCTTGTCGCTGTATGTCCTCAGTCATGTTACAGCCAATACACAAATGTAACTGCTGTAATTCATAATCTCTGTTGGATTTATGAATCTGCACCGTGAATATGAAAGGATCCTGCCCCAAAATAGCAGTTAGCAAAGACCTTGCTCAGGTTAGTGATGTTAGTTTTATCAGTAGAAAGTTCTTTCTTGCAGATCATTTATAGTGAAACAAGAATAAATTCTTTTCTTACAATAAGAATGGTACACATTAAACAAAGATGAACATTAGTATTAGTTTTTCCTTCCAACAAAGACAAATTCAACACAACCTGTCCCACACACTCAACATTACTTAGTCATGTAAGACTGAAAGGCTATTTCTCTCTCACTGATGTTTTGTTTTCCATTTCCCTTGGTCCTTCAGCTGCCACCCCAGGGACTTTGCAGTTTGAGTGCCTCTCCCTGCCAGGATCAGGGGTCATGTTGACTTGCCATGGCATTGTTTACTCTTTACACTTGTTGGGGGGAGGGAGGAGTTCACTTTTTGCAATTTCCATTTTGACAGCCACTTGACAGCCTCTCCAAAGTGTCCAAGTGGCACATTTCAGGGGCTCACCACTCCTTTTTATAATAATATTCCATTATTTCACTAAAAAGCTGGAGTTTTGCACCTTTTTATGGATGTGAAAGCAGAAAGTCTCACTATAGTAATGTCCTGGGGAGTATCTGCTGTTAAAATACTACAGTCATCAGCCCAGCCATAGACACTGGCCCAGAGTAGCACCAAATAATCACCCCCCACCTGTTTTGTCTTGACAGTTGAGCTATCAATTCAAAGAAAAGATACAAGTGATCATTGATCATGAAAAGGGATGGAAGGATTCATCCCCTTTGGTACTGGGATCCTCAAGGGTTGTTTTTTTCTCCTAGGTCTCAGTAACTCTGACTTCTACATCCATCCCTGAAACTTTTTTAAAAGGTTTTTTTCCACAGGGACATATGCAGACATGACTGCACATTCATGAGATCTTGCAAGACAATGCAAAATACATGCACGCACACACACACACAGCATTTATCTGAGGCCTCTCTGGATCAATGTCTGGTTGGTACCTACTAGATTTTGACAGCAACTGGCACCAGGACACTACCCAGGTGAAGCTACCAAATTTTCACATCTGCAGAAATGAGCTAGCTCAAGATTCTGAGATGCAGGAGGAGGAGGTGATTATCTCAAGGCCAGGCGCATTGCCAAGCTGGGCAGTTCCTGGGAAAGGCCAAGATACAGCCAGTGGGAGGGGTCTCTGAGGATGAGGAATTCTCAGATGCAGGCCAGCCCCCCCCCCCACTCAAAACCGTGTGATGAAGCATCAGCAGAGATGGGAGGACCAATTGAATGGGGAGAGGTGCTTGCCTTCAGATAGCCTCTCCTAATGGGATGGGGCCCAGGCATGTTCATAATGAGAATTCCTGAAGGAAAACACTAGATTGGGTTCAACAAACTGCTCCGTGCATGCTCAGAGATCCATTCTGGGTGATTTGTACTTGAGAGTTAATAAAGTTTGCAAAGAAAATAGCCTGTGGCTGGAGATGATTCATGTTTATGTTCAGGTTTATGTTCTTAATGAGATAACAATTTTCCTCCAACAGATGCAAAACTGAAACCTGAAATTAAAAATGTGAAGGAAGACAGTACATATGTTCACCAACTTCTGACAGCATACCCTGTAACACTGGAGTGGATAACTTATGAGCCTCCAGAAGTTGTTGGGCTTCAGCTCCCATCAACCCAGTTAACAAGGCCAATGGTGACAGATCATGGGAGTTATAATCCAACAACATCTGAAAACCACAGGCTCCTTGCCTGTATGGTAGCAGATCATGTGGAGAAAAAGCTTGCTTGTCTTAATGTATCATTCAGCCCACACTTGCTTTAGCTACTGACAGATATTATGAAAACAGGAAATCCATTAACAGGCAAAGGAGAATTGCCAACTCTCAATTTTTAACAGGATGCTGGTGGACAGCATGACTTTACTGTGTAAGAGCAAAAGATGAAAGCCCATTCCCATAGCAGGCTGCTGCTGTCCTACACAGAAAGGAGAGAGAGAGAGAAAGGGACACTGACAACCATCTGCATCCTTTCCTTTAATTCAGCGCTGAGTTCATTATAGATAAATGGGCTAGCGTGTGGGAGGGATACAAAGAAAGAGGATGTCCTTTCCATGCAACTCAGCAACTCAGCAGCAGCAACCATCATAAATGATGAATGTGCTGTTTTCATTTGGTACACTGGAAACAGATTTCGCAGGAAATGCTGGCACATAGCAAGCACAGGTCTATGAACACACACAAGCCGACTTCCAATATTTGCCACTGTCAAGTTGTTTGAATGGCATATTGCAATGTGCTTTGTCAGCAGAATTTCTGGCCTTTGGTATGTATATGTGATATTTTCCAGGACTAGCCTTTTGCTACAGTACACCTTCTTGAGCCACTATCAGAAGGACTAACAGATATATAAAAAAACTGCTGAAATCAGAGCACAAAAGAAAGCAATTTCACAAGAGTTCTGACAACTGAGGGAACCATGGCAGTTCTGCTTCACTGGAGTTTTGCAGCTACCTATTATACTAGCTGTGAGTCCCCATGTTTGTTCTAAATTTAAATGAGATAATTTAAGGAAACCTGAGAAATGCCAACTTTGAAAGAATGACATTTGTAGTATATTCCCTTGGTTCCTTTCTCTAAGGGAACAGACTCCAATTATTTAAATAAGCTCCAGCTGCAGACACTCTATCCCTGGGGACTTAGTACAATTGCCCCAAGTACTACTGTGTTCAGCTCCAGTGAGGAATGGCATAGGTTGGACAAAGTAGTTTATAACTTTCAGCAAGCCCACAGGAAGCTTGACACAGAGATGGGTTTTGATGTTCCATCTGCTTTGTTAAGCAAAACCACAAGGGGAGAACAATAAATGAACACAGAGATTCTGCATTGTTGCAATATTCCATCTACTTCATATAAAGCGAAGTCCTCAAAGCTAGACTTCTACCATCAGGGCACACAAGTACTTTTTCACAGTGCTTTCCTGCTGCCCTAGCAAGCAAAGACTAGTCATCCAGAAGAGGGGGAGGAGCGAGGTGAAGTTGGAAAGTCTCATTCTGAAAGACACTATTCAGAGCAGGATCACCCTGGGAGAAATGGAGGAGCCCATGTTTCTCACCACCACGATCTCGAGAGAGTTCAGTCAGAAGAGCCAACTGCAAATAAAGAGAAACACCACTTGGTACACTACATTAATCTTAAGTCATACAGAAAACTTAAAATGATGTGGGTTGTACAAGCATTAGTCTTCTGAAAGAAGTGAAAAACAATTAATGTAGTTAATCTTTAAGAAGATAGGTGAAAATCACAAAACAAAACTTTTGTTATGAACTACCCAGGATGCTTCAGTTATTAGGTGATACAGATAATAAAACAAACCTCATTTACAGAAGCAAAATGAGCCACATCACAATAACTGCTGCAATTGAGATAACCAAGTAGATAAAAACATTTAAAAAGCCAGGAAGAAAAGGAAAGCATTGCCCTTCTTTTATCCTATATGAGTAAGGTAAACAGACACCTTTTAAAGAATCAGAACATATATGCATACTTCCAACAGGTATGCATTTACTCTACTAAAAAGGAGACCCTTTCTTTTCTACCCAAAGCAAACATAATGACAACTATCACTACTGTGACATTTCAGATAGCACTGCAAAGCTTTTTCCAAGTTTTTCTCTAGAAAAGGCAAAACAAAGATTATATTACCCTGGATGTCCCTCGGTACAGACGACAGAGCTGGTCAAATGCTTGAGCTTGCTGGGGATCCAACGGGGACTCTGAAGTGGTCTAGGAAACAACAATACGGTATTACCAACATAAATCATGCACATTAACTAGGGTTTTTAGAATTTTATTAGACGTGAGAAGCAGCCAAATTACATAAGGTTTTGATATCCTGGATGAAAAGAGTTAACTTAGGACAGACATCTTCTCAAGTCCCCCTTGGCCTTTAATGTGAAAGGGAAGACTATCCAATTAAGCAAAGGTTGGAAACATCGCATAACTACAGTGTAAAGTTTTGTTTTCTTTTTGCAAGAATAATTATATCCCACTGGATTCTTGTATTTATTTATATTGAACACTTTCTATGTCATGCTCTGTGGTTGACAAGCACAGGTGTACTTGTGAGATATTGTTCTGGAGAACTCTCAACTAGCTTTCTTAGTTGTTTCTCTGCGTGTGTTTCTTGCCTGGTGCCTGGTGTTGCTGGCAACCTGTAAGTGTGAGACTGCATGTTTCTGGCATAAGACCACATGCAACTTCACACTCAGGTGCTCAACTACAGTGTCGGCTAGGCTAACAAATGGTCATATTAAAAGCTAAAATTATACAATGCCTACATCTTAGATGGGGAGAGTTGGCTTGTGTTCCACCTCAGCTTTTAGGACCAACTGGTGAATTTTAGCTGATGCAAAGACCTTTTTATTTAAGCAACATTTTAAATGTTAATACTTCTGAATTTTATCTGGCCAGGGCAGCTTAATTTATATTGTGTGTTTTAAATTATTATGATTATTTTATATGTATATTTTAACTTATTGGTTTTATTTATTGTTGTAAGCCGCCCCGAGGCTTCGGTGAATGGGGCGGCATAAAAATGTTTTAATAAATAAATAAATAAAAATAAATAAAATGTAACACTCAACCCCATGACCACAACTGCCCATGTGGAAGCTTGAAGAAAATGTTATATTGCTTAACAGCTGTAAAGAAGGACAATTCCACTCCAAGAACCCATCAAGGTTTAGGAAAGGCCTTAATTTAGCATGACAAGAACTGGAATCTTGGGGAAAATATGGTACAAAGAGTTATAGTCCTAACACAATCCTATGCACACTCAGAAGTAAATCCCACTACCATATAGGTCTTATTTTGTGCGCTTGGGATTACAGCTTTAATGTGAAAATAGTGTACAACTATAAATGCAAAGAAATGAAGAGACCACACTGATATTTCTGTTGAATTGGAAGAAATTAATTCCCTTGGATCCAGAGATGCCTTGTGCATGCAGAAAGGCACTTCTGCTCACATTAGGCACCTCCTGTTGAATCCTGCCACTTCGCTCTGTCCTGCTGCAGCTCCCATGCCTTATTCCACACCACTCCAGAGCGAAAAACCAGGAAGATCCCAATGCTCAGAAAAAGTTTCACTTGTGACTTTCTGGACTCAACCTTTTATATGATAGAATCAAGAATAATACCAATGAATAACATCCCCAGCTATTATCCATGTAATAATGTTGATTAAATAACATTCAAAAGAAAAAAGTACTGGGATTTACTTTTAGACTTTTATATATTTTCCCCCACAACCCTTTTCTCTTCAGATTATCACAGTTCTTCTCATCCATTTCTCACATTAAAAAATCCAAACAGATAGTGAGTGTGCATGTGCCCTATACATTTACCTACAGTTTGCAACTAAGTTTTCAAAATCACAGAAACTAACACACTTTCTACAAACTGACTGTAGCTAAGCGACATCCTGTCCTCTTTTCAGAGGCCTGAAACAGACACACAAGGAAACAGAAGGTAAAGGATGGTAATTTGTGCTTATCCAAAGACAAGAAAATGTAACATAACCACCACCCCTTTGCTGTTTCTTACTTGTATGTAACTATCAATCAGATTGTTCTTGGGGCTGATGAGCTGATATATTGCAGGCAATTTTCCAGTTGTCATGGAAACGAGTGCTGCAGGGCATTTTCCTTTTTTTAAACTAAAGGAAAGCTTTTTATTCAATGCTGTAGGGAAATCTTAGCAGACCTGACATCTGTGTCATTACACCAAGTATAAATGCCCAAACCTGCACACATACATTAGAATCCAGTCTCTGCTTCAAACACCAGGAACTGGCCATGCAACAAATAACAGGTAACCCAGTTATTAGCTTGCTTAGGATCTCTGAATGTCTTTTTAGAAAAACTTACACCTTTTTGAAACTTACAAATATGACTAATGTTGCATTTAGTCCTTAAAACAGCCATTCTGAAACTGAATTATATTTCTAAAAATGATCATTTATCCAAATGATCTGATACAGACATAAATTCTCCAGGGTAGGTTAATTTACACCAAAGTGATTTACATAATGATTTTGATCAGCATGAAAAAGGTCAATTTAAGTCTTTCCCACTGAAACCTTTGCATATCTATTTCTTGAACAATGGCACAAAGCTATTGTGACCACCAAGTCATTATACTTTACTGGAGTATTTACTAGAGTATTTTAGAGTATTTACTAGGGGTCTCAAACTCGCGGCCCCTCGGGCCAATTGCAGGGATGGGCAGGGCACGGGGGAGGGGCCCTGCGGCCTTCAAAGTGCCGGCGGCACCCGGGCCGGTCGCGGGGATGAGCAGCCCACCACCACCGCGGTGGTGGAATACTTGATGTGGCCCAGCCTCACCCAGACTCTACTTCCAGCGGCCCCCAGGTCAGTTGAGTTTGAGACCCCTGATTTACAGTGTTGTTTTCTTACCAGGCTTTGCATCTCATTGGGCCAGTTCACATGATCACTATAAGCCACTGTAGCTTAAATAAGCTATGGTGGCTTGTTATGATTTCTGGTGCATGCTGGGCAGCACTCACATGATCACTGCTGGGCTGTGGCTTATCATGTCACATAAACCCAGTTGGCATGGCTTGCGGGAGCTTAAACAATCCCCAGAAAAACCTACAGCTAGTAATGGCAACTTTGGGACACCAGTGGGTTCAAATTCAGTTCCACAGTGTGTCAGGAAGAGATGTTTGCACAACACACTACCTGCTGCTGTTTCGAACTAGACATACCAGAGATCAAGTCTGGATCAGTGGTTGTTCCCTTCAATTGCCCATTTTCTTGATATAGGTCAAACAACAGAATCTTACACAAAGTAAATTAACTTTACTCTCATGTAAATGCACACACAACTGAGCTTAACTTCCATTTTAGCTTGAAAATCTTCTCTTTCCTTTCACTCATTTTTGGTGTTACTAAGCAGAGTTTCTATCTATGGCCATGCAATAGCAACTCACAAATGACTACACATAATGTATGTATATGGGACAAAAATGCACATGTAATGCACTTGTCCAGCATTACTGTCTTCATGCAGTTTCTGCAAATCATGGGCCACATATGAAGCAGTTTTTCTTTGGATAGCAATTATATCAGTGAGTTGTGAACTATCACTCAGACTTGAGTCACTTACATACCATGCAAATTGCAAAATATTATTATATTCAAGTGAACTCTACTGCTTTATTTTACCTTCAGCAGATGTTGGGCATTCCTTGACACTACCTGTCCCAATTATCTGATATCGAAATGTACACAGCACCAATCTTCAAGCCAGGTAAACAAATACTTATTTTATCCTAGAACCATGTCAATTCCCAAAAGATCAATGGTAGAATAGCAAAACAACATTTGATTCAGCTAAAGTACAGGTAAGTGGCAAAAGCTGTGACTGATTAAGGGCCTAAAATTTATACACAGGGCAACATCCATCACTAAGCTGAAGTATAATTTTATCAGCATGATCTGGCAAGTTCTCCAAAAGCTACATTAAAAGGAAAGCAGTTTTGCATAAAGCCCACAAATACCTTGCTTAAATTAGCAACAAAAGACAGAAGAAACACACTAATAACTTACTTGCCAAATTTCAAATAAATTTAGGCTGATCTGTCTCAGCAGTATGTGCACTTTCTGAAAGTTGCAGTTAGTTTCACTTAGCAAAAACAACTATGATCAGCCTTTTCCATTTTAGTGTCTTCTAGCTGAAGACCAACACAGCTGGGGACATTTTCCAGGTTGACTGGCTGAGGATGCTTGCAATTTTAGTCCAGTACATGTGGAGGGGGCCAGGTTAGGAAGGATTAACTAAAATCCTAATAGAATTATCACAGCATAAGCAATAATGGCCAGGAGGAAACGATCTCCACAAGATTGTATGTTGGTTTTGCTGCAAACAGACTAATAACTTCTGCAAATCAATTCAGGTTAACAGGATTATACACAATAACTAGTTTAAAACAGAAAGTTTAACATAGAACACAAGAAAACTAGCAGATATAGAGAAATCCAGCCCGCTACATTAATCATGTCACCAACCCATGGCCTTTAATCACTCTGTAAGGAAATTGTGGAAACCGCCTTACTATTAGCATCTACAATCAACCCATCAGGTTGAATGAACATTATCCTTCTGGAAATAAAAAATGGGATGACAGCGATCCTCTGGGTTGGTTGTGTGTAAGTGCATGCATGTGTGGGGATGCTGACTCCGCCATCCCCAGAAGAGGTCTATGCTAGTGCTGCAGTCTCTAGCTGCTGGCTCAATTGCCTTCAGCCAACATGGTCTGTGCTTCCATCTGTTATTTCTGAAACTCTTCCTTCTGGCTGTTCCTAGCCACGTGACGCTCTTGCCGGGAGCAACCTGCTACAGTCTTGGACTGCTTCCTGCTCCCATTCTGTTCTTTGCCCCTCCTGGCCTGAGCTGGACGGGAAGGTGGATAAGGCTAGTATGCTTGCACCTGGCAAAAGATGCAGTTTCCGTCATTTTCAAGAATACAAACGGATGACATTCTTTTGCAGCCATGTAATTTAGAGGAAACTGTCGATGGAACAAGACAAAATGCGAACCTTAGAAATACACTATATGAGCAATCTTTTGCATGTTTAGACAGGAAAAAAGTTCTACAACTCCCAGCGGGACTTCTTATATTTAGTGTAAGTTCCTATTTTTAAACCACCCATTGCCTGGCACACCCTTTGTTTTTAGTGTGATCACTGAGAAGATGCTCACAGGAGGGCTGGGGGGTGGGGGGAGAAGAGAGAGAGAACTGTGCGTGTTAGGTTGCTGTCAGTTCACATATAAATCTCAACACAACTTCCAAATTCAAGCTGACAGTTCATTTCAGAAGAGCAGAAATGGTACTAAGAAATATACTCCAGATGCTTGGTGGCATTTTCCAGCACCAATCCATTTCTTGCTTAGAGCATTCTGAAGAAAACAAAAGTCCCAAACTCAAAACTTTATAAAAAGTGCCAGACTATCCTCTATTCAAACAAAAGCTGTACCAAAAGGCATCTGATGAGAATTTGTAAAGGGTTGAACGAGTTAGCAGGTCTCAGTCTCTTTAGGTATGTCTGTATTTTTGTGTGTTACGTAACTTTCATGTATTAAATACAAACAACACTGGATTATAAATTGTATGTGTATGAGCAGGGACCCACTAGATTGAATAGTATTTATCACAGACTGCTGAAGGACTTGTGTCCACCTTGTTCTAACTCAGGCAGTTCCTAAGGGCTATACTGTATTAGAAAATGCATGCTGTGAACAAACAGCTAATCTTTAAGGCATAATCTTATGCATGGCTGGCTGGGGAATGATGAGAGTCATAGGACTTTTTTCTGTTTAAACATGCATAGCATTGCATCCTCCTTTATGTATTAGAATTCTACTTTTTGTCACTGTGGGTACTTGAATTTGTTGCACTTCAATGAAAATTGAATAAAGCAATTAAAAGTCACTAGAAGAATCATTTGTGTGAACACTTAATTCAATGCAAATCTAATTGTTTTCTGTTTGAGCTGTTGTGAAACAGAGGGCCACCAAATCCCGGGGTTGTAAGACCTTCTTCAGTGCATCAGGCATTCTCTACAACAGCTATGAACACTGACTCCTGCTGTAATCATCTCCTGGCTGCATTGTATATTAGTCCTCTTTTATCCAATTCAAGTGTATAACATTTAAAATCAGGATTTTCTACTACTTTGCTTTAGCAGCTGGATTATGGAAAGCTTCTGAATTATCATTAAGCAGCTTGCAAACTGAACATGAGTCAGCACTGTGATGAAACTACAAAAGAAGCAAATGCAATTTTAGGAGACATTTCATTAGAAGCAATGTATTTAAGAGGTATTTCCTATGTTCCATTTTTTCAGTAAATGGTAAGCTTTCTCACATACTCATGCACACTCAAACCATATGTCAAACATTGTAATATGGGAAGGATTCATCTTTGTTTAAGGTAACCTGGACACAGATATGCTCAGCACATCTCTCTCCAGCCAACATTCCCATTATGGTTGGAACAATTGTGCCTGGTGCCTGATTGGCTAATGCTTGCAGTACCTCTAGCGATGAAGTAGAATTCCTCTCCTCCATAATGCAATCAGAGAATGAGCACTTTTCCACCTCTGCATATATAGCACTCTACATGTACCTGAAAGGCCGTCACAAAGAGGAAGGAAAATATCTCTTCTTGACTATTTCAGAGTGCAGGACATGGAAGAACAGAGTTAAGTTACAGGAATCCAGATTCAGGCTAGATGCCAGGAAAAACTTCCTCACTTTCAGTGCAGTATGATGATGGAACCAATTGCCTAAGGAGGTTGTGGGTTCTCTCACACTAGAGGCATTCAAGAAGCGACTGGAGTAATCTCAGTGGGATGCTGTAACCTGGTGTCCTGATGGCCTTCTTGGCCCTTTCCAACTCCCCTCCCCTCCCCATGTAATCCTTACACACACATATCCATACTAACAAACCTGAGGAATCCTGCCATTTTTCCTATAGTGGTGACTACAGTTCTCTGTCATTTTGCCACCCTGTTGTTGTTGTTGTTAGTCGCGAAGTCGTGTCCGACCCATCGCGACCCCATGGACAACATTCCACCAGGCCTTCCTATCCTCCACCATCCCCCGGAGTCCACTTAAGCTTGCACCAACTGCTTCAGTGACTCCATCTAGCCACCTCATCCTCTGCCATCCCCTTCTTCTTTTGCCATCTATTGTTCCCAGCATTAGACTCTTCTCCAGGGAGTCCTTCCTTCTCATTAGGTGGCCAAAGTATTTGAGTTTCATCTTCAGTATCTGGCCTTCTAAAGAGCAGTCAGGGTTGATCTCCTCTAGGACTGACCGGTTTGATCACCTTGTGGTCCAAGGGACTCGCAGGAGTCTCCTCCAGCACCACAGTTCAAAAGCCTCAATCCTTTTGCGCTCAGCCTTCGTTATGGTCATTTTGCCACGCTGAGACACTGTAAATGGCAGGATAAAAAATTTAAAATAAAAATCAATCAATAAATTTTATTTCAATTATTTTTTGCCAAAAGACAAGCAAGTTGCTTTTCCTGACTGAATTGGGCACTAATCAATAGTATTCACTACATTTGTAAAAAAATCAAGTCTCAGGTCTAAATTTACAATTCTACATAGTAAGATAAGAAAATGGTATGTATCAAACAGCGTAACAGGAAAACCTCAAGGCCCAGCCTTCGAAAAGAAAAGGCAAACAGTGGTCTGCAAAAGGCATACAGGGTGGAGGTGACAGAGCCTGCCAGACTGCCTTTGAAGGGAAGTTCCAAGATGACAGTATTGCCACAACAAAGGTTGGCTGCTGCACACTCACTACATCAGGAGAAGGAACATTCTACAGGGGCATGTGATGCTTTCAGGCAGTGGGGAGGCACACATGTGAAGAGAGAGTAGGTATGCTGGAATTGAAAGATCTGAAGGAAAGATCTTCAGTTGGCATGGAGCGCTTAAGACTGGAATGGTGTGCTCTTTCCTTTACTGGATAATAGGCAGGCCCACATTTTGAAGTTCTGAACAATCTTCATGAGGATACAGCACAAATGAGAGGCTAGCATTGCTTGAATGACAGCGGCCAGGTCCTTATCAGAGAGGAGGGGCTGCAGCTGGCTCACCAGCCAAAGTCAGCACTCCTGACCTCTGCTACCACCCACATAGCCAGAAGGAAGAAAAATCTGTTCTTTGAAAAGATACCTTTCCCCCCTCTGTGAATTACTACACATCCCCACCCCTGTATGGGATGGGAGAAGAATGGGAGGAGTTTCTAAGGAATTTACAAGAAGAGTTCCAATCCAACCAAGCACAAATATGCTCCCACCTGCAGCAGGAATCCTACAGTCCATACACAGGTTTATTACCTCATCTGTTAATGGTCAGAGCTAGTCATATATCTCCTCCCAAAATATACCTTATAGCATGTTTCTGTTTACAGTAGAACATCTTAGTTATCTTTTCATTTGGATTAGGAACAGAAAAGAAGCTTCTGCTTTTGCTCAGAGTGCTTGCTGTTTGTTTCAGTTCCCTTTGGAAACAGAGCCTTCAGGAGGAAGCAGGGCCCTTGCCAGGAAATACCATAAGCTTCAGTTTATTTTTCTTCCACTTCTGTACTAAGCTTGAGTGGTGTGAATGTGAAATTGACTTTCTGATCAATAAGCCATTTTTCTTTGTCAAAGACATTGTGTGTGTAACTTAGCATGTCCAGGTGCCAAGGTAGGCTATGATTTTAAGCCCAATCCAAAAGTTAAAAGACTGAACTAGGCAAACAAATAAACAAGTAAAATTAACTTATACCCATATTAATCCCCCAAAGTGCTTGATTGTTCATCACATTCCAAGCAAGCACACAGAAAGCATTCTTACTGCCAGTTCAGCAATGTGGATTCCCTCTTCCCTTATTCTTCCATGGGCTTTCCAGGTTAACTAGGGCTAGCAAAGAGAGCCACAGTACTCACAGAAGTGGCTTTAATTCCTCAGTAGTGCTTTCTTTTCCACTAAGAAACAGGGGGGAAGCAATATTTTTCTTGTTGGGAACATGTACTCATAGTTTGTTCCTCACCTGCAAACTTGAAGCCACCTCCATCACTAGTTTCCCCTTTTTCCTGCCCTGGGTAAGTTGGGATGGCTGGGGGCAAGTGAAGAGGAAGACAGAAGGGGAAGAAGGGAAGGGGCATGAAGTTTTGTAAAGGTACTCCTTAGCTCCCTCAAAAGGCAGATAATTTTAATCTTCTAGGAAACACTCACGTGTGAGCAAGTCTTACCTGTGCCAGATATATTGGAGCTCCCTTTTTCCTCTCGGAGGAAATCTCACTTAGTTTTCCACCTTTGTTACTCGCATTGCATTTAAAGCAAGTCCATCTCATCTGTCCCTTTGCTTCAGTGCCACACTCCTTACTCAGCAGACATAGAGAGTGGTACAAGTGGCCACAGCTGTTCACAAAAACAGATTGCACACATTGCACACTTCATCAATTCATTGTTATACCACCCACTTATGGAAATTTCTGGGAAGTTCATAACAATTCATAAAATTACACATGAGACATCCAGATAAAATACAACATAAAGGTTCATTTGATAAAATTTAAAATAAAATGAGAAAGCAAAAAACAATTTCAATAAAATACTAGATATATTTAGCCAGATGCAAGACAATATCTGTATTGTAAAATTAATTCTAAACAGAGTCTATTAAACTAAATGCCATACTGCTAATGAGGGAAACAGATATTTTTACTTGCATTAGCATTACAATTCTTTAAATGCATGTTTACTCAGACCTGGATTGCATGATTGCTATAGCAGGTCATGTTGCCTAAAGGTACTAAGCCAAGCCCCCATTGTGGTTTCTTGTCACACGCCAACCTGACAAGGGTGTGCTGCCCGGCTAGTTGACAAGCCACCTAGAACCTATGGGT